TTTTCACGATAACGTCTCCCGGAAAAGCAATGGCTGGAGAGATTTTTGCATAAACTCCATGCATCAATAGTATAGACGAGTTTGCATGGGATGTTTGAAGACTTTCTATGCTACTGCGTGGCGCGAACAATTATAAAGGAAGTCAACCCCGCGATCAATTTTATGTGATTTATGACTGGAGGAATAGAGAGTAATCAAATGGATAAGTGAAAGAAATGCTAGGTAAGTTGAGGAATGATGCATCAGACAGAAGGCAGATCTTGGATGAAGGTTACAGAAAACGAGTTGATCGATTGATTGCGTGGATGAATAGGTGAAAAACGAGTGAGCATGTAATTAAATGTTTGCAATTGGTGGATAGTCCAACGAAGAAGCAAGTGGACAGATTGAGATGCGAATGTGGGGGCAGAAGAAGACGACTGATCGAATGGTTGCATGGTGTAAGTGGTCTAAAGATGGCTTAGACAATGCACCTCGATAGAAGATGCGACGAATAGGTAAGGAGATCAGGTTTTACGTTAGGTAAAGAAGTAGAATTCTGAACGATAAATAGATAATTAGAAAAACTCTGACCGAGATCAAATGCGGATTGATCGGTATGGGAAAACCTGGCAAATAATGTTTAAAATGGCAAAATGTTAAAACAGTGAAGGAATAGTTAATGACACCAAAAAACGGATCAAAGAATAAAAATACATAAAATGGAAAAAATTAGTAATCAGGTTACTGAAACGGTGAATAAGTAGATTGTTGAAAGAACGGAAGAATGGACAGATGGATACCGGAGTGTGCTAATCCTGTAAGGGTGTAGACATCGACTCACTAACAAAGTAGACGGATGAAATGGTTGAGAATAGAACCATGATTGCATGGAGCATAAAGGGAAGTCCTTCAGTTAAATGAGTACATTCAGTAAGGTAGAATCAACAGGCAGATGAATATAGAGATGGTAAAATGCATTAGTATTAAATATATCTTAGGAGAAAGGATAGTTGGATAGTTAACGCGTAAACTCACAGTCGCAATGACCACCACTAAACACTCAAAGTGAAGATCATGGCAGCAAAGAAAGCAGTAGAGAGCGCTTAAATTCACTTTCAGGAGGACGTTAAATCACCCTTGCACTCAAACACAGTCCATCACCCTTCCAAATGTCGATGATCCTGGAAGCAACTCCAAATTTCTCACCAGGAGACTCCATCATCGTGTCGGTAAAAAGGCTTTCAGCGCCATTTTAAAAGTCGTACCACAGGTAT